CAGTAGGTCTCAAAACATGGTAGGAATGAGGAAAAACATTGTTCTAAAACAACTGTAATACAAGAAAAACAGACATTTGACTCAACCTAAGCTAAGGGCACCACAATGAAGCTGACATAATACAGCTACAGCTAAATCACACCACTGCATTTTCAGCAATGGCACAAGCCTTCCATGCAGAAGATGACCATGTGAGCACTCCTGCTAACTTGGACAGCATTTATAGTAAAGTTATTTCTTCAGAATTCTTATGTACTTGAAAACTAGTTTTAAACAGGCCAGGATTACGCCTTAGTGTAAATGCCTATTTTTAAAAACTTAAATTGAGGTGTAACGTACTCTGTCAGGCAGATCAAAAGACAAAGCAACATCACCCATTAATAAACACCTATGCTCACAACACCCAAAAGCCACATTAGGAGCCCCATTCCCCTTGTGTCAGGTAATAAAGCAGCTCCCGAGAAAGTCATTCAACCCAGGCAAGGCTTAATCAACCGAATACATTTTTAGTAGACAGGTTGTTCTGCCAATGATATTTAACCTCTTATAAAAAGGAGAAAGAGGAGACCAGTTGTAACTTCATTAACAGATCTGCATGTATACACAGTACATAACTTATTACTTCTCTAGAATAAACCTCACAGAAGAAACCCAGAACCATTTTGATTAACACACATGGCTCTGATACTTGGGAAATATCTTTAACTGCCATCAGAAATTATGTTATAGGCTGGAAACTCCCCCACACCCTATACAAAATCTGAAATTATTATTTATTAATAATAATTACTGATTTTTATTGTCCTCTTGATTTCCTAAATTTAGGCCTAAGCAGTTCTTATTTTCAGGCTGACAAGTATTTCAGTATTTTCATTTCACAGACATTTCAGCAGCCCTCCGACAGTCTTTGCCTTTAGTTTAGAAAATGGGCCTGAAGTTCACAAAAGTAGGGGAAAGCTGACCAAAACAAAACTGTTCAAAAGCTGCTCCCCCTCGTACTACAGTAATTCCAACCACTCTAGTTCATGAATACCAGAAGCAGCTACAGAGGGTTGTAAATAAACTTTGTAACAAACATACACAGTAGATTTCTGAGCTATAGAGAGGCAGGGGTTTTCCAGCTATTGTTTGACCAGAGTATTTTACAAGAGGGTATACAAACACATTAAAATGAGCACTGATGGAAGTTGGTTATAGAGTTCTTGAAGAAAGACAAGGTTGGAGTGTTGGGCAAGACAGTCAACAGATGTTAATTCAATAGCTGTCCCCATCGACAGCAAGTTGGATAGACAAAAAAGTTGAGAGCAGACAAAGAATACAAACTGAGCACTCAAGGCTGGGTGGAGCATAGGAAACAGCACAGGCGGAAGAGTCAGCAATACAAGCAAGACAGACCTTGCATACAGTCATAAAGGTAAGTATTAATGCCTTTTTCTTTTGTAGAACAGAAATTAACAGGTTAATCCTGTACAGAAAGTAACTGCCATCATTTCAAGGACAAAAATCAACCAAAGTTATAAGGAGGCAAGTGTTTTATTGGATTCTTCATTGCTCTTAGCCTGGATTCATTTTTAGACACAGGCATTTAGTGAACACATCCACTGAATCCTGTAACATCTACTCTAAGTGAATGAACTACATCTTATAAAAAGCCACTACCCTTTAATTTAATTTTCAACAAATTAAAACCAAACACCGTCTCATCTGTGGCCATCTACCATCAAAAACTAGACTCCAGAACTGAGACAGACGCAAGAAAAAGTATAAACTCAACCTGCTTCAGAATCATTTGTGTTCAGTGTTGTACTTGCTCTGATCAACACTGAATTCAGGTGGGAATGCCATGAGCCACATCTGGAACAGGAGAGCACTTCTACAAGCGGCCCTTCCTAGGTGCTTCATCTGATCCCTATTGTACTCCCCAAATCCTTTGTTCTAAGGCCTTTCCTACACAACTTTAAGTCTAAGCATCAGTATCACCCCCATGATGCAGTAGTACCCGAGTGGTACAGTAATGCTCTTACAGAGCCATACTGTTCAAAAGGGCTTCCAAAATCTTGAGATGTTCTTTTATATGAACTCGGCACATGAAGAAGGGCAATGCAATTAAACCCATATAGTACCAAGAGTTACTGTACGGTGGGCACCAGAGAAAGCAGGGATTGTCTTTTCTTGTGTGTCCACCCATAACCCACTCTAACCAAGAAGTTATATGAACAAATAATAGCACTAAGCAACAAAACAGGGGGGGTCTCTATATTTCAGAGAATCTTGTGTGTAAAATACCTGCACAAAAATTATAATTCATATCTAAAGTGTAAATAAAATAAATTCAACAAGTGAATATCTAAGTCAATAAAATGAAATGGTTATCAGACAAAAAAAATTCTGGCTTTGCAACAGTGACTGGTCACTTCTCACTGTCAGACAAATCAAGATCCACCCTGCAGAAAAATAAGCCTCAAAACAGAATGCGAGATTTGTTTCATTTCAGAAGGTTCCTGCACCATTAGATTCTTGCCTAAAGAAGAGACTTCATTGTTACGGCAATTAGTATTCCTCCACCCCAGCAAAACGCAAGCAAAGGAGAAAAAAAAAAGCTATGAAAGGGTAATCTAGCCATTTCGCAGCTTTGCCTCCTTACTCCACCCAGTCTCTTCTCTGCTCAATGGCTGCACACAGCATCCATAAACATGGTAATATCAAAAGAAACACACAAAAATGAGATCCCTGAAAACAAGCTAGAAATTTGCAACAAATCTTTCTGTTTAAAAATATTTTCTTTGTTTAGTTCCCTAACATAATTTTCCTATTTAACAAAATTACTCCACAGGCAAATAACATTTTGATAGCAGACCCTCCCTCTTCCGAAAACCAGATGAATGCTGCACAATCATTTACAAAATGATCATCACTGAACACAGGTTCTTTAACCCCCATCTCCTAATGCTATATAAACAATACTGTCACAGGATTATACACTTAAAAGAATCTCCACATAAATACATAACTCAGCCAGGTCAATATGCCCAAACATTTATTTACAGTAAAAAATCTTTAATAAACACTATTTAATATAGCTTAGATTAACCTTCCACCATCCCCTGGTTAGGTAATTCATTATGAATTGACTTGACCTGCAACAACCAAGCCCTCTGCTGCAGCACTATCAGCAAGGAAATTTTACCAGTGATACTATGTCAAAGAAAGGGAAGGTGTCACATTAATATTGGTATTAAAGGTCAAGTTTAATTGCATCCACCTTAAACAAAAAAAAAAAAAAATCTCACACCCACAGAACTGAGTAAACCCTAAACTTTTTAAGGGAGGCACCACTCCCACCCCCCAACTTCCATCAAAAGCCCTGCCTGCGTATAACCTCCTGCCGAAACAAAAACTCAAGAACAGCAATAAATAGATCATTTTAGCGAACTTGATTGCTATTAAAAGGTTTTCAAAGAAAGTCTGTGCGACTGTAGACAAGCAGGCAGCCATATGACCCCAAGAAGGAGAGATTAGACCTCCCTCCCCCGTTTTTACTGCAGCTGGTTCTGAAGGTCTGAGCCACCTCCTATCAATGCTTTCCTTGCTAGATCACTGCAGAAAAACGGGGTGGATGTGAAACAAATTCTTAAAATAACACCTACTCCTTTCTCCTGTATTATCAATTCTCGTTTTGTTTTCCGTGCTGCGGCCGACTCTGGAGATCTGGGCCATCTCCTGACAAACGCCTGCCTTGCCCTCGGAGAGGACGGGGGAGAGGAGAACAGGAAGAAACCCTCCAGGAGGAATTCGGGGAAGGGATGCTCGGCATCCTCTCCGGTACACATACACCAGACTCCTCGCCCCAGACTATTTTTTTGCCATTATTTGCGTCTGGCCCATCGCTTCCTCCCCGGTATCTTGCTAAGTCACCCGAAGAAATGAAGCGGCCTAGAGGGGGGGAAGGACGCGAAGGCCGGAGCCCACCGCAGGGGCTCCTCTCCCCCTCACCCCACCCCGCTCCCTTGTCTGGCCCACTCCTCCCCCGCGCCCTGTTTTCCTGCTAAGTCACCGGCAGCGAGGACGGCGCTGAAGCCC